CTCCTGCAGCCCATGGACCAGCAGGTCATTTCCAACTTGAAGAAACTGTACACAAAAGCTATGTTTGAAAGGTGCTTTGAAGTGACCACAGAAACTCTATTGACTCTAAAGGAGTTTTGGAAGGATCACTTTAATATCCTCAATTGTGTAAACCTTATAGGTAAGGGGCTTGGGAGGGAGGACAAAGAGGCCTTGAATTTGCCTAAAAAAAATGTGGCCAGTTTGGGGTTAAAAAAGGGGAATTTCAAAGGGGGTTGAGGCAAACCCGAAACCTAACCGTTGAGGAACCTTTGTGGCATTGGGGAAGCCCTTTGGGGGTTTGGGTTTTAGTGGGGGGGATGTGGAAGAGTTGATGGGGAGGAAATAATCGAACGGAAGATGAGCTCCTAATATCTTAAACAGCAAGGGGCCAACCTGGGGAAACTGCCCCGGGGAGGGGGGGATAGAAAAATCAAAAGAAGTTGCCTAATTCAAAATTAAGAAATGTGTGCAATGTGGGCTTAAAGTGCAAAGCTTTTTTGATGAAAATCACCCTCAGACAGCTACTGCAAGCCATGTTGGCACCTTGTACAATGACACTGTTGTGAACCACTTTAGGAAAGTCATAAAGGAACGAGAGGTACAGGCCTCTATGGACAGATATGTTGTGCGACACAAGTCCAGTGACTCCAACCTGGTACCTAGGTGGGCATTAAAAAGAAGAAGGGAAGTAACCGCGGTAAAGGACTTGCTACCTCAAGTCATAATGGAGGGGGATTCCCCTTCTAAACACTAGCACCATCCACACACAACTCTCCTCCCATCCCATCAATCACTAAAGGTAATTGTCAATTATTCTTTTGTTACATATTATTCTATTGTTATTGTTGTTATTGTAATTATTCTATTGCATTAAACTAATATTTTCCATGTGGTAAAAGTTTTTTATTTTTCATACTTTGGATGTCCTTATGGGGGAAAATTAATTCGCTTTCCGATAATTTTGGTTTATGATGAGCTCTCAGGAACGGATTAATATTGCGAGCCGGGGGTCCACTGTACTGTGTATAAGAATATACTGCTAAAATTAAACACTGACATGATTCTAATTACATTTTATAATATTTAATTAGAGTAACAAATATCTAAAGAGTGATGTGCCTTGTCTCCATCTATTTAACCCTTTGACTGGTCGCAAAACCCCCAATTCCTGATGTGTCTCCTTGGTGTCGCAAAATTAAAAAAAAAAAAAAAATATTTTTCTATGAAATGATAGAGAATCTGTTCTTTTTCCCGATTGTAATGACACCAAAAAACTAAATTTGATGGAAAATCTGAAGGAATTCTGGCTCTTGTGAGTTAGCTACCTCGCGTTGTTTACAAATCGGCAATTTCCACCCACTTTGAACCCTATTTTTTATTTTCGTCTAATTCCATTGTTCCCAAGGTCGTCCCCAAAGTCATAGCTATTTTTTTAGAACACCATTTTTCTATCGATTAAAGTAGCAAGCAACAGCCCATTTACAAACCGATTTCAACTACCTAATAATGTGGTCAGAAATTTGCAAATTTGGCCAATTTCACGAAACTAAAAAAAAATGACAATATCAAAATAAGGTCCAGAATGAACAATGCAGACCATTCCTGACTCTAAAATAACATTTTCTTCTTCGCTCATACAGTCATGTCTCCAGGCCCCTCTTGATTTATTACTCTTCCTTTCTATTTTGAATTTTTATTCAAACAGAAAAATAGAGACTTACTAATTATGCAGACTCGCAATACTGAATAATTGTATAAATAACATCAACCCATTCCAATGACTAGCATATAGAATGGCTAGTTTGGACATTTATTGGACAATGGCATCATTTGTTTACTTTTTAACATTGGCAAAAATCAAACATTTCCCCTACTTTGACTCCATTTCTGGTTTGTTTATAGAAAAAAATCAATAAAAATCACCAAAATTTTCTATAATATGTTTTCCATTCTATCAAATGAGACCAAAAAAAACGAAAATACAACCATAACATACGAAATAGCCACAAAGTGGCTTTTTTAATTAAAAAAAACGTCGGGATTTGTTTTTCTCATTATGCACTGCGTGCTCCAGATTTTTATATTGAATAAACACACAACCCATTCTCTGACTGCTGCTAGCAGCTTTTTGGCTGTTATTGGAAAGGCATCTTGTTTTTATTTTAACGTCAAAAATCAAACATTTCCCCCGCTTTAGCGGCATTTCCTAGGTTTCTGCTTATGGTAAAATTATATCAAAATCCAACCCCCCCACTATTTCTATAGTAATTGTTTTTTATTTCTTCGAATAGCTCAAGTAAGCAATATACTCCATTTTGTCGAAACTCCAAAATGTGAATTTTTTAAAAGTTATTTGTTTTTCTAGCTTATGGCACTAACGCCCTTTTCCAGGATTGCCTAAAAAAGGGTGCAAAAATTTTGACCGCACACGGAGACCCCTTTCACATATGGGACCGCTTTTTCCAAACCTTTTGATTTGAAGCAGAGTAGAATATATGATTATATATACGTCCAAACAGTACCTCGAATTGAACGAATTCATATAAAAAGGAAGGCCCCCCCTCTAAACGGGGTTTCACTACGCATTCCGTTAAGGCCCATACAAATTCATGGGACCAAACTGTATCAACTGCCCCCACCAACAATAACGGTTACCACGACCCCCTTGTTTTAACTGCTTCGAAAAGCTCAGTAAGCACATAACGGGCTGTCTCGTTTTGGTCTGGTGAGCTCCAAAACTTTAAAATTGTTTTTCAGACCGCTGGGATTTCCCCCAACTCTTCAGTAAATAGTACTCTGATAATTATACTTATGTATACCTGTACTTAAATAAACTTACATACTGTGCTGCATGCAGGTACACATTAAAATCAGTAAGAGTGTCTTATGTCTCCAGACGTCATATTAGTAATGATAATAATAATCATCCTCTCATTTAAATGTCGTATATTACGTTAAATACACATTTTCATTAATCCATCTATGAAAATTTTTTCAAAATTATATAATAAACACGATACATGACATAAAAAGATGATAAATACACCCCACAATAGAATAAATAAACATAAATATGAGATGTGGTAGCAGACGACTTGCACAAGTGACGCCATATTAGAAATGCTAATAATAATAATAATAATCACCGAGTCTTATTAAATGTTGTATATTACGTTAATATACACATTTTCATTAATCCATCCATGATATTTTTTCAAAATTAATTTTAATAACACGATACATAACATAAAAAGATGATAATTACACCCTACAATAGAATAAATAAACATAAATATTGAGATGTCATAGCCAGATAACTTGTACAAGTGATGCCAAGAATAACATTTTCTCTAATCTAACATAAGAGAAAATGTGTTACTGGGGGTAACTGTAGAAAATTATTCCTTTCGTATGTATGTAAGTTTTATTCAGGTATACACAAATACAGTTACATAGTTTTATCATACATAACAACATATGTGTAGAGAACCTAGGATAACCCAAAAAAAGTCAGACAGAGTGATTTATTTCCATTGCCTTCACTCAGAGCATCATTTCTTCTTAAAATGATGTTACATTGAGAATGGGAGTGTTCTTTTTTTATTTATTCTACCGTATCAATGTAGAGACAACCTGTACACAATGTAACTTGTACACAAACCAGACGTGTACACTTCGTTTACAAAACTTACCTTCGCCTGGTTTGTTTACATAACTCTACGCCTGTCCTCTCTCATGCACTCATTCTTTCTCTCTCTCATTTATTCGTTTTATCTCATTTACTTACTTCTGACCCTACATTAAGACTACAAATATTTTAAGGTAAGTAATGAGTGAACTGTATATACATTTTATCGCTCTGGGATGCTTAAATATCATGGAATATATGTGTGGGTGGGTTGGTCTGGTATGGTAGCCCGGCTGACTACCATACATACCACACTTGATTTTTTACAATAAATACTACTCATCTCACCCTATATTTTAAGGTAAGTAATGAGTGAACTGTATATACATTTTATCGCTCTGGGATGCTTAAATGTCATAGAATTGTATGTGTGGGTGGGGTGGCCTGGTATGGTAGCCTGGCTGACTACCATGCATACCACACTTGATTTCTTACAATTAATACTACTTGTCTCACCCTAGATTAATACTATAAATATTTTAAGGTAAGTAATGAGTGCACTATGTGTGTATTGTACTTTTTATTGTTTTTTGATGCCTGGTTCTATTGCTAACTTAATATATGTTAGTGTAAACTTGTTATCTAGTGTTTGTATGCATTTGTAAGTGGAAAAAAAGGGTGTTCCACTTTATGGCGGTTTCCACTTTACGGTGGTAGCCTGGAACCTAACCAGCCGTATAAGTGGGGCCTTCCTGTATACGGCCGCGACAGTCAAAGGGTTAATTATATATAATAAAATTAAATTTGCAATGGCTAGAATTTACTGTATAATAATAGATGAAGACAATGGTAGGCAGTTCTTTCTCATATATATATTTTTCTGTTCTCTTTTTAAAGCTACTTAAATTGTTAAAGAAATTATATCTTATATTCATGTTACTATGGTAATCGAGACATTTGTCATTTTTTGTTATGAATACTTAGTTTGGCTTAAATAAGATTGTTATTTATGTAAACAATTTATATTTAACCTGTAAACGGTCCAAACGTATATATACATTCAATACCGTACTGCCCCAACTTTTTTGAGAAAAAAAACATTGTTGTCTTTTAATAGGACAAAAGAGCATATGGTACCCAGGCATTTCCAATTATTTTAATATGGCGCACAGTGAGTGCTCACACCCATTCTCTCATGTCTAGGCAACTCATGCTTATCGTGGCAATGTAAAATGTATGACATAAAACGTATATATATGTTTGGGGCACTAGTGGTAAAAACATATATATACGTTTGGACCGTTTACGGGTTAATATAGTTAATCTAGTTCAGATTAATTAATTTTTCCAGGTAATAAACTTATTTGCCAATGACGCGCAGCGAGTGTACGACCTGGTAGTAGTTGGTCCGCTGATAGTAGGAGGTCCGATAGTAGCAGTGGGAGGCGTGATCTACATACTCTGGCTCCTGGGCCCCTGGGCTCTCTTTGGCATGATTGCCTTTCTTCTCTTTTATCCATTCCAGGTAATAGTCTGAAAAAATATTTCTTATCCATGCAAAAGATAATTTAGTTACCTTTATAAGACAATTAATTACATTTTTTATTGTGATACAAATATAATTTGATATAATTGAAAACCCATAAGAAAGTTTGTTATTATGTATTGTATTTCAGGCAGACAAATACAGCATACATAATACAAGTACATGTAGTCACACAACTTGCATAATACAAGTAGTCACACAACAGGTAATCATACTGCATAAATATTACAGGTAATCATACAATATACATACATACAGGTAATCATACAACATACATAATACAGGTAATCATCTGACTTGCATGCTACAGGCAGTCATACAATATACAGTGAACCTTGGCTTACGAACACCCCACCATGTGAACTTTTCAGGATACAAACCATCATTCGGTCGATTTTTTGCTTATGGATATGGGCGAAATTTCAGGATGCGTTCTTCCCCATCAAGGGAGGTTCCTTAACCCTTTGACTGTTTCAGGGCCCCTCTCTGAAACTGTCATTCTATGTCGCCAAATATTCGAAAAAAAATTATTTTTTCTTATGAAAATGTTAGGAATATTTTTACTAGTGTTTTAAGCCTAAAAATAAATTTTTGCCATCAGTACTTACCGAGATATAGAGCCGCAAAGTTTGCAGAAATTGACGTGCGTACGGCAACAGCGGCGAGTGCCGCCCACCCGGTATTCTTTTATTTACTCTAATTCAAAGGTTTCTTGCATTTTTCAATATTTTTCTGTTCCAGGTAATTTATGTGGCCTGTGAGACCAATGTAAGGTGCATTCTTCAAATATACACTCATTGTTTACAACACAATAACAGAACAAACTTTATCACTATTAGTTTGTGTATACACTTTGTTTACACAAACAAACAATACAAAACAATGTTTATTACTATTGTTCCATAATATATATACATATGTACAGTCACTAAACACATTCCTAGAACTGCTGCAGCTTGTGGAACTCTTTGAAACATGGGTATATGCAGAGGGGCACTTCACACATCCTCACACATAAAACGAGTGTCTCTGCGTGTTTGTGGGCGTTTTGTGGTATGCATACATACATAACACCTCTTCTGAGGCATTTTTTTGGCAGTAGTAGGAGGCAGTTGTATGGGGTAGTGATCACCAGGCCTCATATGAGATGACGTCTGTGGGCGCTGGTCTATTGCAGGAGTTGCTCCTTGGTACTTTGCAATGATTTGTCTGATTACTGACAGGCAAAATTCACCATATTTTGGTGTTTTGTTGGTCTTCAACTTGTATATGTTATAAGCATTTAGCATAGAGATATCAACAAGATGGAAAAAAAGTTTGATATACCACTTATAACTCTTGCGTACACAGTCTGCAAACCCAATCTGCATGTCACATTTGTCCACTAAGCGCATATTGAGGTTGTAGTCCATGACAGCTGCAGGCTTTAGAATGGGTTCATTGGTCTCTCTGTTGTCCCTGCCACTGGGTACCCATTTCGTTTGTGTGAACTGATGTCAACAATGTGACATCACGTTTGTCATGCCACCGAAATGCCATGATGTCATTGGCAGCAAAGGCTTGCACCTCACCTCTGCGAGTGGCAGCGTCGAACCTTGGCATATGTTTGCGATTACCACGCACTGTGCCACACATGTCTGTCAAGTTCACTCGCAAGAAATCACTGAGTAAGGGGCTTGTGTACCAGTTATCAGTAAATAACATGTGCCCCTTACCAAGATATGGTTCCATCATTGTTCGAACCACATCACCAGAGATACCCAATAACTTCATGGTATCTCTCAAAGTATTACTGCCAGTGTACACAATAATATCCAAAACTAGACCACTTCTGCAATCACACAGTACAAATAGCTTTATACCAAAGCATTTCCTCTTGCTTGGTATATATTGCTTGAATGAGAGTCTTCCTTTGAATAAAATCAAGGACTCATCAATAACGAGCTTCCTGAAGGGATAAAAATACATGCAGCACTTTTGTTTCAGGTACATAAACACATTTCTTATCTTATATAACCTGTCGCTTCTGTCAGGCCTGGTTTTGTCTGAAAAGTGTAACATACGTAACAGTATCAGGAAACGATTGACACCTATAATGTCACTAAAACCTGGAGTTGAAATCAGGCGATCTGTTGTTCAGTATGTGGTGACAGTGTGCTTATACACATGTGGCATAAGCATTATTGTGGCAAAAAACAGGTACATCTCTGCCACAGTTGTCTCCTTCCACTTGTGTAGCTGTGATTTTGTTGAGAGAATTGTATTTGCCACAGTATGTGTTTGTTTCCCTGACAATGATGTCCATCAGGGGTTCATCGAAGAATAACTCAAAGCAGTCCAGTTCACTGGCATTGTTCCCAAGTGGACAAGATGGCTTTATTCCACTTTGTGTTTCATCAAAGTCATGGGGACTGGGAACAAACTCGTCACGTCCTTGCCAATCCCAGATGCGGTCTGCTGGTGGGGTCTGGATATTGTACTGTGGTTGTGGTTGTGCAGGTTGTGGGAGTGTGGGGTAGGGTGAGGCTGGTTGTTGTGCTGAGTCAGCCGCGTGGGTAGTAGCGTGGCCCGGTGATGGTGCCACATGGGCCGTGCCACCCTCACTATCACCACCACTGCCTCCTCCCTCACTGTCACCATTCATACCCATCGTTACAATATCGTCATCTTCACTATCAGGTCATGGTGTAGGGCCACGGGATGTGCTCCCAGAGTTTCTCCTTCCCCTTGGAACAACATATGAAAGACTACCAGACCACATGCTACGTCGTACATACTGCCGCTTCACTGGGGAATATTCACTCTCACTGTCACTAGAACTGCTTTCAATGACCTTGAAATCACTATCACTATCACTATCACTATCACCGCTATCATCTGGGTGTTGTACACGACCAAATAGTTTCCTCTTTCGTCCTGGTACAGGCGAACGTGAACGTGAACAAGCCGGCACAGCACCAGAGGTCGAAGGTTGTGGGTCATCTGGGTTTTCGTCACTAATTACGTTATCCTGGGCACTTTTTTCGGTAACACTCGCTTCAAAACCCCGGAATTCACTGTCACTGACATTTTCATCGCTGTTAGAGCTATCACTTGGGAACAAAAAACCTATGCTCCATAGTTCCTTGACAATGTGAGTAGTCACGAAAGCACTTGGAATTTCACTATTCTTTCAGTGGTTGTTTCGCATATTTTAACCCATAAACGGTCTAAATGTATATATACGTTTTTTCAACATTTGAAAGTATGTAAAAAAAGTAGATCTTCTTTTTGTTTTTCTACATTTGAAAATGTGTAAAAAACTTTCATCTACTTTTTTTTGTTATATTTGAAAATATGTAAAAAAAACTTAGATCTACTTTTGTAGCACTACACATGTGAACGTAGATCTGCTTAGACCGTTTATGGGTTAAAATCACCTGTTTACTGTGATCTTATTGCATTGTACATGTATGTGTAGTGTGACCTAAGTTTAAGTAGAAGTAGCAATACGTACCTGAAATCTTCTTCTTCTTTCAACGTACCAGCCGTATCCCACCGAGGTGGGGTGGCCCAAAAGAAAAAACTGAAGTTTCTCCTTTTAAATTTAGTAATATATACAGGAGAAGGGGTTACTAGCCCCTTGCTCCCGGCATTTTAGTCGCTTCTTACGACAAGCATGGCTTACAGAGGAAGAATTCTGTTCCACTTCCCCATGGAGATAAGAGGAAATAAACAAGAACAAGAATTAGAAAGAAAATAGAAGAAAACCCAGAGGGGTGTGTATATATATGCTTGTACATGTATGTGTAGTGTGACCTAAGTGTAAGTAGAAGTAGCAAGACTTACCTGAAATCTTGCATGTTTATGAGACAGAAAAAAGAACACCAGCAATCCTACCATCATGTAAAACACTCACTTGGCAGGACTGTAGTACCTCCCTGGGCGGTGGCTGTCTACCACCCTACTACCTAGGTAATATAATAATATAATGATACATATAATAATACATATAATAATAATGTACTACAATAATGATTATAATAATAGACGGCTTCAAAAGGCTGTCACTAGATGGTAGTGAATACCACAACAATGCGGGAGCGGTTATGGCTACCCCCACGAGTTGATATTAGCGTCATATTGAAAGAGAATTTTGTCTTGTCTCCAAACAATACACTCTCCTCCACCGCCGGCACCACTACATAACCACTTACATAATGACATTTTATTAATTGTAGAGTATACAGGTCTCTCTCAGCATTCGCGTTTTCAACTTTTGCGGGCTTCACACATCCGTGAATTCCCAGCCACCAAATCATATTTAATTTTCTTGCCACCTATGTGTCCCTACTACCCTCCCTCCAACCCCTGCAACTGGCAGCCAGCCCGCCCGCCTAGACTCATCATGTCATGCAGTAAAGTAAGTAAGTGAGTTTATTCGGGTATACACAAATACAGTTATGTAGATTATCATACATAGCAGCATATGTGTAAAGTATCTAGGATAACCCAAAAAAGTTACACTCCATATAATCACCTCCATTCAACTATCATCAGTAACTGCATGGCTAACTATCATTATTTGGTTAACTGTTCATTATTTGTTATTAAACTGCAGTACAAGTAATGTCAGCCCATTCATGACTGCATATTGGAATGGCCATTCCAACAGGTATTGGACGGAGACATCATTTGTTTACTCTTGAACACGGCAAAGAATTGAATATTTCTGCTACTGCTACTGCTAATAATAATGATATAATAATAATAATAGTAATAATAATAATAATAATAATGGAATTGAAGAAGGAAATTGTACAAAAATATGAGGGTTGAAGCAGTGGTGGAGGCAGTGATTAAGGCATTTTGAGTCAATGTGGCTTTGTTTATGCTGGAGTGAGCATTAGCCTTTGTGCTCTTCCAGACATTTCACAATAATTCATTGTGTTTGGTGTTTCTTGATTGAGTGCGACTGCTACATAATTAACCAAAGAAAC